TTTACAGGCAATTTTAAAGAGTTGGTAAAGCACCTCTTGGGCGCCTTCCAAATCCTCGAAGACAGGAAAAAACCTATAGCAAACTCCCTCTTTTGCAGCCAGTATTGGTTTTGTTTCAATTTTGTGTTTTGTGGGCGTCGAGTTTGTTTCAAGTGAAAAAAACCTGACTTCAAAGGTATGATACAAACGGATTTCAAGTGAAAAAAACCTGACTTCAAAGGTATGATACAAACGGAGTATATGTGTGAAAAAAACTGACTTCAAAGGTACGATACAAACGGAATACTAATTCCTGATGTGACACAGCTGATTACGCGCAGCTGTGACTACCTATTTTTATTTTCTTATTTTCACGATAGCAATAAGTTTGTAATGAAAAGGCCCCTTGGGCCTTAAATATACAATTTATTAATTATTTATTTTAGATGTTACTGAATTAGAGTGAAGTAATTGTTTCTAGGTTTTATGTGTGCATTGAAGTTGGAATTTCTCTCAGACAAGTTTAAGTTAGGATTCGGAATGCAATAGAGCCAAGCACATACACCCAATACCCATTTAAGAATCTCTTCCAATTGTAGTGTTGTAGTTTCAACTTCACCCATCAAAATTGCCTGTTCGGCGGGCCAGCGTAGATGTGTACAAGTTCTCCTTCTCTACCACTCTAACCGGAATGGTTTAAGGGAAACCTTCACCGCTTTATATTCAAAAATGTTCCGAGAAGAGGGTTTCAACTTCATCCGTGAAACTCGTCCAAATCGCCATATTTGATAGTTCCTTTGGAACTCTGGTATTTCACATGGTTTCTGTGCACACTGCACTTTTTTCTTGCGAATAAGGTACGCAAACGTGCTTGCGTGCGTTGTTCTTAGATAAACTGAACTGTACAGACATGTATTTTATCTCAATAAGCAAGGATGCTTTTACTAGGCTGAAGTGTGGGTTGAAGAAACAAAATAGGATTTTTTGGCTAGTACGTGTTCGTCATCTGCGCTTGAACTGGTTTTATTATTGTCGTTCCTCAATATAGAAGAATTTAGCAAAAATTATTCACGTCAATTTAAGTGGATTTCCGACCTTTTAACCGATTCTCTGGTTGTTGGTATAACAACGACTATTTAATTTTGCCGATCTCGATGCCCCCGATAGCAAAACGAATGCACACTGCGCGCTTTAGTAGTGTAACTCTGGCGCGAGTAGGCAGGGGCATTTTGACTATTTGTGATGTGACCTCTTTTAGTCCAACGAGACAGACACACCATCACTCCCTCACTCACCAGATGATTCCCGCAGTTTGTACGCCCGGGGATGTTCTGTCTACTTCTTGACCTTTATCCT